GAACTTGTTTGTAAGTATTTCGTATCTTGCCTTAGAAACAGGGAAATTATGAAGTAAGCTAAATACATATATCAAAACAAAAAAATAATGAGTTAGTAAATAATGTAGATAATTTTATATAGTAGTCTAACTAAGAGTATGTAATATCATAACACAATTGAAAAGTAAAAACAAACCGCCATAATGATTAGAATAGGTGGCCTCGAATAGGCTTAGCCAACTTGAAAACTTTAATTTACCACTAAATTCAAATCCTAAGTTAACAATGTAAAATAATCTTCGTAAGTTTAATAAAAAATAATTATATTATTGTAGCGTCATATATCGTTAGGCAGATTCTTATTCATTATTCAGCAAAAACAATGCAAAGTCTAATCCACTAAACAGTAATGAAAGCAATTTATTTCTTCGACTATAACATGCAAGTATATCAAGCTACGTTCGTGGATAGGCCTAACTCACAAATAAAACTTAACAGTCATTTAGTTGTTAAATTTCCTCTCGTATCTATTACACAACTCAAAACTGACTTACTTACACACTCAGTAACTGGTTGATAACACACATGCACTAACTGACCGACTCATCGTCTGTTTCACTCAATAATCCACTCATTAACGCACTCATGTTTTATAAATCAAAATATTTTTCCACAAATCTCCTGAAAATTCGAGAAGTCACATCAGATCCAGATGTTTATGTAACTTCTAGATATCACACATCGTTATTACGTCACGGTAAAACTCCCTATAGCAAGCAAAACATCTAAATTAAAATATTAAAAACATAGCCTACAGTACTGCCTCGTCCCTAGATTCAGAAGTCCCTTGAATCTTCCTAATAGACAAATAAAGCAATAATAAACTTAAATTTACATAAATAGTAATAAAGTCACTATTTAAAATTAGTTTAATTACTTTTCATAAATATACATTACAATCACTATATAATTATTTAAATGTGTTAAACAAAGTACAGTCAAAATTCTGACTAACGAAACAAAATCGTCATTGTTCTGTTTTTAATTGTACATTGACCTGTTGTCCTTTATTGTCATTGGAGAAGTTCTCTGTGTCCAGATGGTCGAGTGAATCCACAGGTTGCTTTATCCTTGGTTGTAGTTTGAAATTGTACCACCATTGGCTCTTCAGCAGCTTGACTTTGCACTGGCAAAGTCTTCATTAAAGCTGTCTGAACAAGGATTTGGGCTCTTCAACAGGTTGAATTATCACTCTTAAGCTAACCAGTTGGCCATTCTCTCACCAACGTACAGCTATACTTCCAAAGGCAATCAGTGTGAATTGTCTTTGGCGTGGAATGCCTGTCCTTCTGGTTTCTGTAAATCACATCATTAATTATTTTTGTTACATCATAAGATGCTTTCCAGCACTTGCTTAACTTCAGAGGGCGTCTTTTCTTGTTTTGAGGATTGTACAGCCATATCATGTTACCACAATGAAATCAAGTCCTATCAGCATTTACATCATAGCGACTTTTCATTTATCACTAGTATATCTACTTCTTTCTCGGGTAAAGTCATATATGACATCAAAGGAATTCCTTAGTCTCTATGCATATTTGGTGTGAGACTGCTGAATAATTAGCTGTGAATGTGAATACATATGGTCCATTGGCACTTTGAGTTCTTTCTCAAATACCAGTGATGCTAGTGTGTTGCTTGTAGCTTCATATACTGATGTTCGATAACTCATGAGTATCAGGGGAAGATCTTGATCCCATGTTTTCTTATGTTCATCTATCTAAATAGCTAATTGATTTAAAAGTGTATGGTTGTACCTCTAAATCACGCCATCAGAAAATGTATAAAGGGTTTGTGTACTGGTCTTTCTTTCTCCAAGGATTTAGCACATATTTGCAAACAGTGTTGATTCACAGTTCCGTCTCTGACCTAAGCAAAGTTCCATAACCACTCTAAATCTTGAGACAAATGCATTGACAAATTTCCGTGTTATAGTTTCTGCTTCCTGTTTAAGAACGGCACATGTTTCTGGCCATTTGATGAAATAATTCATCAAAAACTTGATATATTTATTCTCACATTGACAACACTTTTTCAATTGGTGCTCCAACACAATACTGCTGTAGTTGCCCACGCTGATTCTTTCATGGACCTTTTTGCTCTAACCATAGTTCACACGATTTGTGCTAGTTTGTAACACCCAACTCAGTAGAAGCATTCTATTATTCTCTCCAGTATATTCTTAACACCTAAGTCTTGGAAGGTTGGGGAGATGGGTCCTTCAGGCTGCGGTGACTGTGCAGGTACCAATTGTATTCGTAGTTTCTCATTACTTGTATTTTTCCATTTCCGTCATAAAAAGCTTTGCAATAGGCATAACGAATCCTACTGTTTTGGGGCTTTATGGAGCAACTGTTTGCCAGGAAGATGTTTGGGCACTATTTTTAATTCACTGAATAATTGGTTTCACGTTCAAATCTTTTGGCTGAGCATCTTTCAGTTGCGTCTTGAACCAAAATAGTTTTCATCATCAATACTGGATGTCCCATTTTGTACTTTGCTTTGTTGTACTTTAGATGGGTCATTTTACTGTCTTGTGCTTCTCTCGTTTCATAATGCTTAAATTCTTCATTATTGAAAGGTCTTCTGGATTATGTATCAGCATTTTCATACTTCCATCTAGTTGTTCTTCTGAAATTAATGAAGTCATCTTGCTATTTGGCTTTCTACATTACAAAATCTCGCCAGCCATTTTGGCGCTGCATGATCTTTGAAGTATAAACTTCTGTCCATATAAGTAATGATAACAATGACTTAGGGCTCATCTCTTATTTCATTCTAGGTGGTACAATACCTCCTTTTTGCATCATTCATTGCCTTGCTGTTATAGTCAATCCCATGTTGTACTTGTGATAACACTGCTTTCATTTCAAAAATCATTGGCATCTGTAACTGATATGAGTGGATATTCAGGAATTACATATGTTAATACAGGAGTAGTGGTTGATTCTTTCATTCTGTTTGTTGAATGCTTGTCCACAATCAGAAGACCAACGAAAAAAAACTAATTAAATTTTACAAAATAATTTGCGTAGAGGAAGATGGAACAATTCATATTTCTTGGGATTCAGCTCAAGGTTCTCTTTCCTAAACTGATCTAGAACTTTCCTGAGTTAACCACAAGCACTTTAAAAGCTATTCCTATGTGTTTATGTCATTGAAGCAGATGAGTACTACATTCCAGGGTAATCCAAAGAGAACATACTCCATTAATTATTGAAATGTAGTGGTGCATTATATATTACAAAGGATAACACAACAAATTGCCACGACCCATTTTCCACAGTAAAGGTTTTCTTCTCTCTACTTATTTCATCCACTTGTAATTTCCAATACCTACTCTTCAGATCCAATGTTGAAAACATTTGGATTCAGATAAAACATCCAAGGAAGAGTCAATCCTTAGTAGTGGGTACACCAAACTAATACCATTCCTAGCACCACTACTGTAATGTTTTCTATCGTTTTATTATTTGATAAAATAATGAAAATTCGAGTCCACTAAATGTTATGGAAAGCGGTTTATTTCTTTAATTGTGACGTAAAGTCTACAGGCAATGCTCGTTGATAGGCCTATCCCACAAATAAAACTTACAGTCATTTACTTGTTAAACTTTCTGAATAACACACTCAGTGATCGATAATACAGATTTACTAACTGAATGACTTATTGTTTGATTCACTCGATAATTCATTCGTTAATTCACTCCTGTTTTATATATCTTAAACCTTCAGAAAATTCAAGACGTTTTTCAGATCTAGGTAGTCAGAAAACTTCTAGATGTCACACGTCATCATTATATCTTATTTAAACCGCTACTGGCAAACAAATCATTTAAATTAAAGTTTTAAAAGCTTAGTGATAAATCTGCAGACTTACGACGCTAAAAATCGGGATTAAGTAGCCGTGGTGTGCAAAGCTTTATACTTAACAATAATCATCCAACCAACCATAGTTTACATTAAAATATTAACATTTTAGCCAATAATATTAATGTAACTAATGTTAAAGAAAGAATGGAATACGGTATGTTGAAAACTAATTTCTTTGTGAGAAGACGTATGATTTCAACGATTTTAATAACTCAAACAACTACTTACTTTGCTCATCACATATCAAAGAGAAAGAGAAATTACCAAGAATGGTCATTTCCCTGGTATTCCCTCCCAAGACTAAATAAATCCCTTTTAACATAGAAAAGTGTTGGAAAGTCCCCATTTGCTAACTAGACGTTGACGTCTTTCTAAATTATTATCATTGTTGAGTTGTGTTTGTGATGCGTTTTCTTTTATTGTGGTAGATAATTACAAACAGCATGTAATGTTTCCTCAGTGGTTCCATTAAAGTCGTTCTTACTCATATGTTTATCAGATCTTGTTTTTGTGTTGTAAACGTCTGTGATATTGTAAGTATATATTGGACAAGGAGACTATGTGTTATGTGGTCTACATTTCACATTTAATTTATGCGTATGAGATTTTCTTTGTTTTTATGTAATAAGAACAGCATTTTATGAATATATAATACAAAGATACATGTGCCTCTATGCAACCTAATTATTGACATTAAAGTATGCATTTTTCCCCTGTATTTGGTAACATTGACGTACTGTTTTCATGTCCCACCCTACGCAAGTACCATTTATACTGGTTGATATAACTTCTTAGCCTACGTTAAAAAGATAGGAACACAATTTGTTGTAATTAGCGGTCCTGCTTATCTGTTGTGTAGGCGTGTAACTTGATTGGCATGCAGATGTTTATAATGCAGATCATATTTTGGTTTGTCTCTTCTGCTCTTTGGTTTACGCCTGTTCTGTCATGCCTTGAAATTAGGTTTAGAACTGTAAGGTATATATAATAAATGTTATCTAAATGATTCTTCAACATGATGCACTAAGCTATGAACTGACTGGATTTTATGTTAATAATAGTTTTTCTTTGCCCTTTCTTTTAACAGGACACCACTAGAGGTCAGGACTTACTAGATGTTGTCTTCAAACATCTGAATTTGTTGGAAACAGCCTACTTTGGTCTACGTTTCGTTGACTCGTCGGGTCAAACGGTAGGTCTGTGCTCTGTCTACCGCGGGGGAACCGAACCCCAGATTTTATCGTTGTAAGTCCGTTAACTTAGCTTTTGTAAAATCTCCGCTTTTAAAGTCATCGCTTAATAAGTTGCTTCATAAGAATCGGACATAGATAAGTACCTTCTCCTTGACTATTTTGTAGCAGACGTATACCGATCCCTTTTTTTTTAAATAAAAAAAAAGAGCTTTGTGCTACACATATTCTTAATATCAGCATTAAATAACATCCGTGTGTTTTATGAAATTTTCAGGTTTAAAGCCCAAATTGTATCCTCCAAGAAACACATACTTACGCTTTACCTTTACATGGTCAGAATCTTGAAATTATCAATGTCTATGAGTATGAATTCTAGTCACCAGGTTTCCTGGCACCAAAATGGGCGTTTCATCTTATTTGCCAACAACTCCGATAAATATCACTTGAATATATTTTTATAATTGCTTTCACATGTCAGTTTTTTGCGTGTCAATGATTTACATATATATTTGTTCGACTAGTGGTAAAGCAAAGAATTTTCGATTACGCCCATAAATATCTTTTTATTGCTTTAGGAATTTTTGAATCGAACTGTAAATTCTTAAATTCTAATCGAGATGCGTTTCCATAAAATATACGCCCTTAAATATTATACATGTCGCACCAAACTGACACTTACACGAATGTATACGTCGTATTATTTGAAGTATTTCTTCAACTCACGTTTCAGAATTATTCCTGTACAATTCTCTTGCAAACCGACAAAATCTGCTTATTCATATTTACAGAAACACTTAGTGTTTGTCGTCTGATACTATATCTCAAAACATTCGGTTTTATATAACTTTTTTTCGACAACAAGAGAATGGAAAGTGAAGTTCCAGTATGAGTTTTCGTAATTTTTAAAACCCTGTTTTCTCAAAATTTTTGCTCTTAGTCATTTTTATCCAATAATTAGAGACATATCGTGAAATTGATACCATAAAAATAAAATATATCCATAAAGCTTACTTTAAACAAGCCAGGTGGCGCCATTTCCTGCATTCCTTCCGTATCGAATCAGTATGAAGTATTTTTACCACATGTTATTTTTGCAGGTTTGATGGTTGTTTGTTGTTAAGCGCTAAGCTACATAATGGGCTATCTGTGCTGTGCCGACTGCGGTATTGAAACTCAAATTTTAGCTGTTTATTTTTCAGATGATTATCCTTTTTGTATTTCGACTGTATATATATTTTGTTGTAGAACTTTACAGTGCTAAAAACTAGTTTAAAACATCTATGAAGTTCTGTCGTGTAAAAATTCATGTAGTATTTACTTCACAGGCTGTAATATTTGATTTCAGTTTTTATTTATTGCATTTTTTTACCTAGTTATAATTTTACTGTTTCCTTGATAGGTTGTGCCAATAGGCCTGTTTTGTTTTAATTATATATTTAAATTTTGCAGGAGATTAAAATTTAAAACATTTTTCAGATGTATCGCAATTAGATTAAAATCAGAACTCACATCTAACAACTTAGCCAGTCCAGTTGAACTGTACATAAAATACAGTTTATCACAAAGTTATCTCGGTATTATTACGTGACTAGCAGATGCTTGTTGAAACAATTCAAAGGTAAATTTCTCAAAAACAGTTATTAATAAACAAAAAATGTGCAGTCAACCCAATCATAGCATATATTGTTATTCCATGTGTTATTTCAATAATGAAAATTAAATTGTGTTTGTTTTTAAGCATTGTTGGCAAAAATATTGGGTTTCGATGCAAAGGGTGCATCCAGCACCATAGAGCTTTCAAGTTTGCTAAGTAGCTGCGGAGATTTTTTCCGCTGGATGCCACCGTTCCTTATCATCTATTTGAACGCAAGAAAAGATCACTACGGAAGTAAGCGCTTTTTGACAGTTGTCATTCCTGCAAGAAGTGTCAAAGGGGAGGCATACCATTCAGATCAGTAAGATCATATAAACCAAAGAAAACAAATATATACTCAAACACGTTCCTTTCTTTATGCGTTTTGTTTTCCTTCATGCTTCTATCTTCAAAATAGTTCTTTCAATCAGTCGACAAAGGAAATCCCGTTTTTTTCTTGAAATTCCCTCACAGAAAGAAATATTTTTTCCTCAATAAGTTTTTTAACCTTGACCGTTCAGCACATACAAAGACTGGCAGATCGATGTTGATATCAATATAAAATTTTAGGAACTGCACAAAAAAAAGAATAATATTCATGTAATATACTCTTGAAAAAAAGAATTTTGATTTTTTTTCTATGACTAACCATTCAGGAGATACAGAGCGTGACTGGAAGACAGACATTTGGCTATTGTATACAGAAATTATTTATGTTCATTTAATTTTAACACGGAATTTATATAGACTGGAGTCATATTCAGGTCCTTGATCACCATATTTGAAGTAAAGGTTAGGTGAGGTACAATATAGCATGTATGGGTCAATCGTCGTGAACGTAATGAAATATGTGTTGTTAACGGTTTATATTGGCATTAAACAATTCAAAATAATTTCCCCAGATATATTTATAGCTTTTTAAAGGTAAACAAAACATACGACGACTAATTTTCAGTGTTTATCAAGTCCAATGTCTAATACTTAGCAATACAGTACTAGAGCTAATAATGTTAATAGTGAGGGCCTATGTTACTAGATTAGACTGTACTTGTTACTGTTAGTACAGTCTTGGCCATAATATTTGCATATTTTGTAACAAATAAGGTAATTATTATTAAGATGGAACACAATTATACTTAGCACTGTCAACCTGAGAAATGCATGTTATACTAAACATCTACATATGGACACAATGAACGATTTATTAGAACAGCAAACACATTTATCAGACACTTTTAGAAAGATGTGTAATTCAGCGTTTCACCTATCACAACAAAACCTTACCAAAACATATATAATGACAAAATAGAACATTATATTATCATCAAAAGCGTCTGTAACCATATATCAGTTCATGTTAAATATTCAGTACTTCACTGATCTTTCTCGTACTCTGATAACCTCTGCAAAGCGACGTGGCATGCGGTCGATGAGGTTATTGATGTAGTACAGCGTGATATCATACCAATTTGACACTAGAAGGTACTGCAACTCAACTACTGTAGTTGGTTTAGGGTCGTGGTTAGAAATTTTCCGGCTCAGTCCTACCTAACAGTTCTCAATGGGATTACAATCTGAAGACTTTGCTGGCCATGGCAATCTTGTAACGTCCACCTGGTTGAGATAATCCTGTACAATATGTGCACTGTGGGCAGTGTCATTGTCATCCTGAATCACAGAATTATTCCCAAACCTTGCCCTAGCATATGTCAAAAATGTCGTCTCCATGTGATGTCTGTAGTAGGCGCCATGACGTTTCTCTGTAGGATATGATTAGCAGTTTTCCACCATGATGAAGATCTGCCCAAACATGTACTTTGCCACCTCCAATGGGAAAGACAATCTTCCCTCACCTGTTCTCCGGGCAACCGATGAACAAGAATCCTACCAACAGTTTTAAAAAGTCAGAAACAGGACTAACCTGAAAAGATTATATGTCCTAATTGTAAGTTGGCATACTTTCTTACCCAAGTGACATGGTGACGGTGGTGAATTCTGGTTAATATCAGTTTGCAGATAGTCATTCTTGCAAAATAACCTTGTTTGGTTAGTCTTCTATTCACTGTTCTTTTGGATATCCTGGAATGAATACATTCATGCCATTTTTGCCGTAAGGTGTTTCAAGACTTCTTTCGACCTTGACATGTAAACTTGATCAAAACATAGTCATTTCGGGCAGTAATTTTTCGGCGTCTACCAGAAGACTTTCCTGGAACAATGTTTCCTTCTATCTGATGACGTTTCAGGATTCTGGATACAGTATACTGGGGGTACCCTACTGTTCTGGCAATGTCCATTTGCTTCATACCTTTTCTGGAGAGTCGAACAATTTGACGCCCTATATGTTATGGCACGTGACGAGGCGTGACTTTACACCAAGTACAGAAAAAGTATCTGAACAAAGCATTGATCTGTTTCGAAAAAGATTATACCAAAATTTAGAATTTCTAAAATGGTGACATTCCTTGAAGGTAATGTCATTGAAAACAAAGGAATGTTGATCAACGTGGGACGCCAGAACGATCTAGAAGGAGACTTGCAACAAGTAGTATCCCATCTGTGGTAAGCTATTTGCACTAGTTTATATTTGGTAAAAATCAAAGAACACGTGACAAAAGCCATCTTCATGTTTCAAGCAACAGTACGCAACATAATCAAGAAGGAACTCCGTCCAAAAAGGCAAGAAAAGTCACGTGTACACAAATTGTTTCCATGTCATATTCATTCAACCGTCACAAGGAGCTAGAAACTGGTATTCAAACCATTTCTTACAAAGACATACTAATCAATCCGCAGTGCCTATATATTTCTGTGATATCAGACTGGTGAAATGAACACTTAGAAACTTTCATCCACGTAAACTAGATGGAATTTAGAAAGCATGTACAGAAAAGTGGTATGTTTTCGACATTACACCCTTGCGACAGAATCTTATGTAATGTAAACTACGTTGTAAGGCTATTGTCAAGATGCATATTTCATCAGATATATCATAACCATGTCGACGTGGGCTGTAACGACGTGATGAAGCTCCAGTTTCTTTTTAATATGTCGAACTCAACCTCTGTATAAGCAAAGCTCAACTCTACAGGCTACAATTAAAAGGTGCAAGATAGCTAAGAAAGTGACAGTTGAAACGGCTATAACTCAAAAGTGAACTTAAAAAAAACATGGCTGATGATATATAAGCATTACATTTCTGATATTCAATATCGAAGAGGGGAAGACAGAAAAAATGAGCAGATTTTGAAGTTTTTCTACACCATGACACAATAAAGAAACTGAAGAAACTATCTTTAGAAGGAACTGTAGCTGCTAAAATTAGTGAAAAGACGAGCGATACAACCTTCCTGCTTCACTTTTCAG